ATCATCCCTTTAGTTTTGCTTCGGGTCTTCTTACCGCGGCGGCGGAGAACGCGTTGGTCCCGGTCTCGGCTTCATCGTCGTCGCCCACGTCATCAACGGCGTTGGTAAAGTATTCAGGGTCGTCGGATTTGGGTATGATGATTTGTGACGGTGTTGATGAGCCTTCCGTTAACTCTCTCGGCAGAGCACTTTGTCACGTAAGTGTTAAGTGTTAACATTTCTTTGATTTCGTGTTAATTTACATAATAACGTTTTTAGTTTTTTACTTCTCATTAATACTGGATTTGAATATTTGTTCACTTGTTTGCCTCGGTCCAACTAAGCCATGATGATGATTATATGGAGCTTTGTGTGTTGTTGCCTTGGTTATATATATTTGTATAACTCGATCTTAATTAAATGGAATATTTTATCTATCTATGATTAAACATCATGTTGGAGCTTTCTATTTTTGGACACTCCACGAGGTGCCTAACGTGGACAATATCTCTGTAATTTCCACGTGGAAGACATGCATAGTGCCACGTTATAAATGTCAAACAAAGAGGGAAGTGGATTATCTTCTTTTTTTTTGGTGAATAGAGGGAAGTGGATTATCATAGGCTCGAGTAATCATAATTTACGTTTATTTGTCTTTGTTAACTAATTATCATAAGTAGCTATTCACTAAAATTGGTTATTTGTGTTCGTTTACTTATAGGTTACATTGGTTTTCAACATTTCATACACATTGACGGATCTAGAAACTTATTTAATATGGGGCACAAAATGCAATTTACCATAACTAATATTTACTTTATATGCATTTAAATCATTTTTTCAATAACTACTTATGAAAAAAAAAAAAATATATTGTGGGGCACATGCCACACACTCTTCCTCTCTAGATCGGCCCCCGTTACTACATCTGATCTTAATATGTGTCCACGAGTAGGTACTAGCGCTCATGAACGGGATTCCAGTAACGTCAAGAAAATATCAATTTGCCATGAATATGGCCGAGAAGATCATGGAAGACAATGCCCAGAGCTGCAACGTGGATCTACTTGATGTCAATCGAGCGGCCCTTGCGTCCTCCTTTGCACGCACCACTGCGCGTTTGCAAGACTCCTTGAAACGTTCTCGAACCGCAGATGAGCCCTTTTTGGGTGGTTTGCCGCTGCGTGTGATTAGCGTCCTTCCGCTAGGAGGCTATGTGGCCTCCTACATGAGAGGGCTAAGCGCGTGCATCAACACGGTCAGGTCGTTGGCGGACATGACCGGGAACTTGTTGTCGCAGAGTAGGAGGAAGGAGTCTGCATTGATGGGAGGGGCCGGTCCTCGGGAAAACGAGGTTGAACTGGCGGTTGAGAAGCTGGCAGAAGAGCTGTTGTGGATGACGGAGAAGCTTAGGCGTTACGGTGCGATAGATGAAGGGATAAAGAGGTGGAGCTATGCTTCCGGTTTGGCTTCCTTGTCTCRCACGGCTGCTCCTAGGGTTCAAGGCCTCATGGTTAAGATTTCAGGCAAGTATTGGCATTCAGTTTTCGGATAAAATTATGCTCGTTAGATTAAAATTAACAATAAGTGTATAATTTGAATGTAGGTTTGGTATATACTATCTAATTAACGATACTAAGTTCGTTTCAGTTTAGTAGCAACAAATTAAAATGTTATACTATTGTTCAGTTAAAACAGAATTCAGTTCGATTTTGGGTTTTCAAAAACTCAGTTCAGTTTTGGTTCGGTCTTTACGCTCACTGATCCGTTATTTACTCACAATCTTTCTCTAATGTTCTGCAGCGCTCTTAATTGGAGAGTTAGCAAGGGACAACACACAAGTTCCGGGACAAGTGAAGTTCAGGCTCCTTGCGAACTGGCTACCACTGTTTAGCCACGCAAGGAACGGGCTAGCGTTTCCGGTGCTGACGGGTTACGAGAGGGTTGAGGTGGAACGAGCCATAGACAAAGCCATCTCTACTTTGCCTGCATTGGACCAAGAAATCTTACTCACAAACTGGCTCCAAGATTTCTCAGTCTCAGCATCTGAGTGGCCCAATCTCAGTCCAGCATACGACCGTTGGTGCCACTCCACTCGCCAACTTTTCATGTAGAAGACCCGTACTAGAGATGCGTCTCGTAATAGCTTTCATGTCTAAACATTTATCTTAGGTAATAAGACTAGTCTAGTCAAAGATTCAGAGCTAAAACCGGTCCTTTTAATGTATCTCTCGAGTCTGAGAAGACCAAAGTTATGGCTTAGATGTTCTTTTCTACATCAATAACCAACGAAATTATCAACTTCTAATATCCCCAAATCGATAAACACGGAAGCAGAGTGTAAGAACTTGAGAAAGTTCCAATCTGTGAAATTGCTTAAAGGATCCAAGGAAATCTGATAATGGTTTAGTTTGTAAAAAAGTGTACAAACAGGCAAAGCTAAGGTGTTGAAGTTCTTAGCTTATGATTTTTTCTCTCTTCTGGTTCTCTCTTCCTTTTGCTCTCATTAGCTTTGTCCAGAGGAAGAAGCTGAAACTTCTGCGCTGCATACGGGGCAGACCTGCAGAATATTGTGTCAGCATCGGGTTGTTAATGGAGTTCTAACATTTCCTTTGGTTTATACAAACAGAATATAGTACAATATCTACAACTGCATGCTGTGTATGCTAAGGATTATGGATTTGCATTTATCCCTCTAAACACAATCCGCAAAGGTATAAATGCAAATCCATAAACCCAACAGAGATGAAACTAAAGTCTGTATATTCTACATTTCTACTGACCATAAAAGTCCCTGCTATATAAACAGATCATCATTGTGGAATTATCAGGTGCTGTGGCGGTTTTCTAACACTATTTACCCTGATCAAAAAGCGTTAAGTGTCCGTAGAGAAAGACAAGACTACATACAGTCTCCCTAATTGGATTTAAGGTTTCGCACAGCTAACTAAAATCTTTTTAATATTTCAGCTTCTCTAACTGGATTCTTTTTCTTAAACAACGTACCTTGTTTATCTTCAACCAGTTATTTATGCACTCCGAGTGGTAAGAATGTTTGCAAGGAAGCAGTATTAAATCATCGTCATCCTCGTAGTCTAAACGACAAATTACACACCTGCATCAAGCATTGGAAAAGTCAATTATCATGCTACATGCACAACATTGTCAATGGTTGACTTAATTGGTTAAAAAAAAAAGCACTACGATTCATTGGTTCCGTTCTGATTGTCTCCTTCTTTATATCTTTTTGAAGGTAAAGATGCAATTGTATCAGCGGACAATCCTCTACTCTCGGTTCCCACAAATTCACCAAGCGCAAGCAACTCCTGTAAACATTAGATAGCGTAAAAGTATAAGCCAACAGGTGTGTTGGGCATCTGAATCATGCATGCTGAAACTGATATGCATTACAGATCTTTACACTAGAATCCAACATTTATAACAATTGTATTCACATTAAAGTACTAAACTATTAGTCGTTTACAATAAGCATTGAATACCATGAATGTTTTCATACCTCATATGAAAGCTCGTCAGGATCCATTTCATCCCAGACATCCTGCAAAAATAAAGCATACAGCACATGAGTGGAAGCAGATTCAAATCACCTCAAAAAAGTCTTTACTTTAAATGATTCTCTACCCTGCAATTCTAATTTTTACTTGATCTTTTACCACAAAATAGACCAGACTCTATCTAACTTCAGTACACTGCAAGGTCCCATGCTGCAAGGTGTGAACATAACCCTTAAGGCATAACCTTCTCCGATGCCAATTCAACTGATTTGATTACCGGTGAATGCATATTTGAGCTTCAAACATACATTTGTGCAGAATTCTAGTATCATAGATTGCAAGTAATTAGGTACGACAGTACCAAATACCAAAAAAATTCAGTGGAGTAAGACTACATTTGAATTATTCCATGGCACACAATTTCCAGTAGGTTGACTGGCTAAACTACTACCTCATATACATAGGGAAGAGTATATAACTGGACCTCCGGACTAAGAAGGCTAACACCACAGACTAAGCTGTCACAAAACAAACAAACTAATTCCAAACAGAAGAAATTATGTAAAGATGCATCTCTTAGACAATGGCGGGTTCTATGTCACGACTTTATCCTTTGGCCACCATATGACTAATCAGAAAAGGGATTTGACAGTAGTTCTTTTCACATACTGGGGCAAAAAGTTTCGTATTCTCAAGCAGAAAAGGTTTACAGCTAAAGATTAAGAAAAGGGTTTTGTTGTAGTGTTAGGAGCCTACCTGAGAAGTCTGACTGTCATCCTCTAGAACTTCAACGCCTGCAACCAATAACAATTAGCATAATCTCAAACCCATCCTAGAACGCTCATCAAATAGAACTTGTGTGCTAGCTATAAGTTTACTCACGATCTGCTAACCCAGTTAAGGCAGACAATCTAGCTGCCATTTCTCTTTCTTCAGCTTCCTGAAGAGCTCTTGCATATGCCTCATCATCTGAATAAGCAACTTCTTCGGTGTTT